CTTTCCTAGTATTGGTAATTTCCAATTGTAAAAGGAAAGAGTGGTCATTATAAAATTTTCATTTTTGCCTATTGTTAATGTTATTTTTCTAGTCTCTATTTTAGTTGTGTGTATTTGTGCTGGTACTCTGATACTAACAGTGGTATCAGAGCTGCGTTCGAGTTCCGTTGCGCTAGTCACTAGAATAGTGTTGGTAAAATTCTGAGTATGCTTTGTGGTTGCAGTTTAATCTGATCTTCCACATCAGAAAGGAGTTGTTACTGGAAAAGGTGTGGTAGTGTGAAACTGTTGTCTGGGAAAGTTCTGGCTAGGAAAGACTTGGTACTTAAGTGTGTCCATTAGTGACTCACCTCTCTTTCCTGGGAACTTACCTAGTGTATTGGTTCACGGTCTACTACTATTGTTCCAGTAGACAATACTATTCATAAGTGAGAGTTGCATAAGTGGAAACACAACTATGGCAGCAAAGTACGAGATAGAGAAGTTCAACGGGAACAATTTCTCGTTGTGGAAATTGAAGATGAAGGCAATCTTGAGAAAGGACAATTGCGCGAAGCAATTGAGGGAAAACCTGCGAAATGACGGATAAAGATTGGAAGAAAATTGACTGGCAACGCTATTGCAAATTTACACTTGGCAATGGCGGACTCGGTTCTATCCGAGTGTTGCGGAGAAAGATTCGCAAAGGAGATTTGGGATGCCCTCATTAAATTATATGAGGTAAAGTCACTTCACACAAGGATATTCCCGAAGAGGAAACTCTATACTCTTCGGATGAGTGAGTCCACATCGGTGACGGACCACATCAACCAAGCTGAACACCTTGTTTGTCCAATTAGCGGCGACAAATTTCAACATAGTTGAGAATGAGCGTGCGGAGCTCTTACTTGAGCTTGCCGGACTCGTATGATCAACTCATCATCAACATTACAAATAATAATATTGAAGGACAACTACACTTTGACGATGTTGCCGGAGCTATTCTAGAAGAAGAATCCGAGCGAATGAATAAGGTAGAAAGTTCTAAACAAGCGAAGTTTTGACGATGATGAGAGGAAGATCGGCGGAACGTGGCTCAAGTGGGAGTCAAGATCATGGCGAGATCTAGCTCTCGAAACAAGAAGACTTTCAAATTTAAATGCTACTACTGTGGCAAGAAAGGGCACACGAAGAAAGAGTGTTGGAAGAGGAAGAATGAAGAATCAACCTCACAAGGTTGCATTGCGAGTACTTCGGAGGAAGGAGTAATTCGGTAGCGAAGCGAGCAATCGACTCTAATGGCGGAAACGAATTTCATGACAAGTGGATAATGGATTCGAGTGCAACTTGGCATATGACCCCACACCGAGATTGGTTTCAAACCTACAAGCCTATCTCGGGTGGATCCGTGTTCATGGGAAATGACCATGCATTAGAGATTGCTTGGAGTTGGTACTTGTCAAATTAAAAATGTATGACGGTACTATTCGTACAATCCAAGAAGTACGACATGTGAAGGACTTGAAGAAAAATATATTGTCTATAGGGCAATTGGATGACCTCGATTGCAAGATCCATGTTGAAGGAGGAATCTTAAAGGTAGTGAGGGGAAACATAGTTGTCATGAAAGCGAGAGAAAATCATGGCAAACTTGTATGTGCTTATGGGAGACACCTTGCAAGAAAATCATGCAACAACTGCGTCGACAAGCCAAGAAGAAGCGGCGATAACGTGGCACCGTAGACTTGGACATATGTCGGAGCGAGGTCTGCAGATTCTTGCGGAACGTGATCTCATACCTGGGCTCAAGAAGGTCGATTTACCCTTCGTGAGCATTGTGTGACAAGCAAACAACACGGGTTGAAGTTTGCAAGAACCACCACAAGGAGTAAGCAAACTTTGGACTTGATCCATTCGATGTCCGGGAATCACCGGAATTATCTCTCGGAGGAGCAAAATATTTTGTGTCGTTCATCGATGACTACTCGAGGAGATTATGGGTATACCCTATCAAGAAGAAGTCCGAAGTATTTGCGCGGTTCAAAGACTTCAAAGCACAAGTAGAACTTGAGGCCGGAAGGAAAATCAAGTGTTTGAGGACGGACAATGGAGGAGAATATGTAGATGGAGATTTTCTAGCATTACGCAAGCAAGAAGGAATTGTGAGACAATTTTACTGTTCCACACACGCCTCGACGGAATGGTGTAGCGGAGCGGATGAATAGAACTCTTCTAGAGAGAACCGGAGCTATGCTGCAAGCTGCAGGCATAACAAAGTCTTTACGGGCGAAGCCGTGAATGCCTGCTGTTACTTGATAAATCGGTCTCCATCAACAGCAATTGGGTTGAAAACTCCTATGGAAATGTGGAGTGGAAAATCAACCGATTATTCTTCCTTACATGTGTTTGGTTGTCCCGCGTACGTGATGTACAACACCCAAGAAAGGACGAAGTTGGATCCAAAATCCAGGAAATGCATCTTCTTGGGATATCGCTGACAATGTGAAGGGGTATCGCTTGTGGGATCCCACTGCCCACAAAGTTATTGTTAGCGAGAGATGTCGTCTTTGCGAGAAAATGAACTGCAAAGCAAGCGAGATAAATGACAGCTCGGAAAAGGACAAGACTATAGTACGAGATAGAGAAGAAGACTTCGAACATTCCTCCGAGTTAAAGGAGGAGCATGAAGAACATGAGCCAAATGAGGTGGAAGAAGGAGAACTCCGACGATCAACAAGAGAAAGAGTCGAGACCATCTTGGCATTCACAATATGTGATGGCAAGTCATGATGCGTATTGTCTCCTAAGTGAAGAAGGAGAACCTTCAACTTTTCAAGAGGCAGTGAGTGGTTCGAAGCTCCTCTATGGATGGCTGCTATGGAAGAAGAAATTGAAGCTCTTCATAAAAACAAGACATGGCATCTTGTGGAACTTCCAAAAGGTCGCAGAGCCATTGGTTGCAAATGGGTCTATAAGATCAAGAGAGATGCCAATGATCAAGTAGAAAGATATCGTGCTAGGCTGGTGGTAAAAGGATATGCTCGGAAAGAAGGCATTGATTTCAACGAGATATTCTCACCGGTTGTTAGATTGACAACAATCGAATTGTCCTGGCGATGTGTCTGCATTTGATTTACATCTTGAGCAATTGGATGTAAAAGCTGCTTTTCTTCATGGAGAACTTGAAGAGGAAATATATATGCTCCAACCGGAAGGCTTCAAAGAGCAAGAAAACTTGGTTTGCGGGTTGAACAAATCTCTATACGGTCTAAAGCAGGCGCCAAGGTGTTGGTATAAGAGATTTGATTCCTTCATTATTAGCCTCGGATACTACGGACTAAGTTCGGACCATTGTACTTACCACAATAGGTTTGAAGAAAATGATTTCATCATATTGCTTGTTGTATGTGGATGACATGTTGGTGGTAGGCCCTAACAAAGCTCGAATCCAAGAATTGAAGGCACAATTGGCTAGGGAGTTTGATATGAAGGACTTGGGACCAAGCAAACAAGATTTTAGGGATGCAAATTCACCGAGACAGAAAAGATAGGAAGATTTGGCTTTCTCAAAAGAATTATTTACTTAAGATCTTGCGGCGCTTCAACATGCAAGATTGCAAGCCAATTTCTACCCCACTTCCCGTCAGCTGTAAGTTATCCTCAAGTATGAGTCCTAGCGGTGAAGCGGAGAGGATCGAAATGTCTCGAGTACCGTATGCATCGGCGGTGGGAAGTCTTATGTATGCCATGATTTGTACAAGACCGGACATTGCACAAGCGGTGGGAGTGGTTAGTAGATTCATGGGGAATCCTGGTGGAGAGCATTGGCAAAATGTGAAGAGGATCCTTAGGTATATAAAAGGAACCTCAAATGTTGCATTATGTTATGGAGGATCGAAGCGGTTGTCGGAGGCTATGTAGATTCGGATTTTGCGGGTGATCTGGATAAAAGGAAGTCTACTACTGGTTATGTGTTTACCATCAATGGAGGGGCGATAAGTTGGTTATCCAAGTTACAAGATGTGGTAGCTCTGTCTACTACGGAAGCTGAATACATAGGCTGTCACCCAAGCATGTAAAGAAGCTATCCGGATTAAAAGAATAATGGGGGAACTTGGTCACAAGCAACAACAAATTGTTGTGTACTTGTGATAGTCAAAGTGCCTTACACATTGCAAGGAATCCGAGCCTTTCATTCGAGGACAAAACACATAGGAATAAGATATCATTTTGTTCGAGAAGTAGTAGAAGAAGGAAGTGTAGACTTACGGAAGATCCACACTTGAAAAGAACCTAGCAGATGTAATGACAAAACCGGTTAATGCTGACAAGTTTATATGGAGTCGATCCCTCTATGGCCTATCGGAAGCATAAGCAACATGGATGTGAGAGAAGAAGACATAGTGTGAAGATTTGATTAATTTCATCAAAATCTTCAAGTGGGAGATTGTGAAGGAAGAAGTCCCACATCCGTGGGAACTTCAATTGGGGGCTCTCCTCCTTCTTATAAAAGGAGCCCCTCCCCCCTTATTTCATACATCCCAAATATTTCTCCTTCTTTCTCTTTTACTTTCCTAGTATTGGTAATTTCCAATTGTAAAAGGAAAGAGTGGTCATTATAAAATTTTCATTTTTGCCTATTGTTAATGTTATTTTTCTAGTCTCTATTTTAGTTGTGTGTATTTGTGCTGGTAATCTGATACTAACATCTCCGTCAATATTCAACCATGCCTGCAGATCTTCTTGGAAGTGTAGCCAAATTGCAGATGCTACCTGTTTTCTTCAATTAAAATTTGTAAGGGAAGGCAATGAACATTTCTTCTCACCTTATTACAAACAAGTGAAATTTACATCGGCAATACTGTATATTGTGAAGAGAGAATTGACTGTCTAATAGTGTGTTTGAATGTAAGTGTATACGAAATCCTGTTTGTTTGGTTTCGTAGGAGCAAATCATGCTTCAACATTCAACAATGGCTTCAATTCTTCAGTATGATGGAAGTGTATACGAAATCCTGTTCCTACTTGTTTTCCTCCATCGCCAAAAACTTGCGCTTATGAGTTATCAAATTTCCACCATGCATCACTGTCGAATTTGATAGTTCCAGATCTTCTTGTTCTGATACCCAACGGTACCCGTATTTCTTCACTTCAACCAGACAAAATTTCTCATACCATGGTTCCTCTTCCCCCGAAACTACGCAGTCATGACTAAAAGATTTTATGTCATTTATTTTAATTTTCAACTTCGAGCCACCAATATTTGGCATGCCCCCAAAGTAGCGTTGATTAATGAAATCTTGCTGAGTTAGATAGAATAGCCACATGTGATCTGATTCGTCCAGATCATTACTGAAATTCATAGGAATGTCATAACCCGACCATGATGATGTTTCTGATTGAGAAGTGATCTCCCGCATCTGAAATATTACATAACACACAACTCCAATCCAATAATTGTCATCGGTGACGGGAGATGCATCTATGATTATTGAATTGTCCTTGCTCACATGCTTATTGTTAAACCACCTCGGTATATCACTTCCGGGGACAATACTTCCAACATCTAGACCAAGACATTCGTATAGGTGGGTCCCCTTGAACAACCACAGAGCTGCGTTAGTTGCTGGTTTCCTACACAAAAATGTATAAAAAGAAGGGAAGAGGAAGGAAGGAGCATGCACACCTGAACGATTTGTATCATCCATGAAATACTCATGCTACTGCACCGTTCCCTATCAACTAATTCTGGACAGTTGTAACTCGCTATTCCTATATTAACTTCATCAGGATTGAAAAGCATATGTAGATATGGCTGATAGTAACCTTTTGAGGGCAAGTCAGTTCGTGAAGGGAGATCAGGAAAATATTTCAACCGCTTGCAATGCTGTATGTTTAAATTATAGAGTCTGAAAAGGTTCTTGACTGGGAAGCGTAACAAAATTGTTTCCCTTTAAATTTAGCTTTTTTAAGCAATGTAACTTTCCGATGGCATCAGGAATATGAACTAAGTGAAACTTAGATCAAGTTCACGCAAACAAGGGAAAGTAGGAGAAGAAGGTGTTAACCAGCTAACTGACTCTCCCTGTGCTCTGCAATACAATAAATCGAAAGGCCGCAAAAGCCACTTTTTTATGAGAGAGGATGTTGACTGGGAATGGAAAGGAGCTTCAACTAAACCAAGCTTCTTCAAATGCTCTCCATTCCTTCCTTCATCTAATAACTTATTATTGTACAATTTTGAACACCCAGAGACACTCATATATTCAAGAGAAGTTAGGCCCGATATGCTGTTGGGTAAGCTTTCTAGGTTTATGCAGTACTTCAAATTAAAAAAAAAAAAAGCTTTTTCAGACGACCAATGGATGGGTTGATTTTTCTTAGCTGTACACATCCTTCAAGATCTAGCCTTTCAAGATTTACGGCGTCTCCAACATCTGGCATCTCAACTAGGTTTTCGAAGTGAGAGAGATCCAAACGTTTCAAATTGTGAAGAGGCTACAACAATGGACAAGATGAAGACAAAATTAACAATGATGCCAGGGTTTTTCATTAATTTGTTTCTTAAATTAAATAAAAATAAGGAAATAAAAACACAGTTTGTCATTTACATTACCTCTCTGCCTGCCCATAGTCGTTGAATGTTGCTCCCACAAAGGTTTAAATCAACTAGTTTATCTGGTTGAAAACTTGGAGGCAAACACTCAAAAGGATATGCTTTCCATGTAAGATACCCTAGCTCATTCGAAAGATGACTGAGACTTCCTGTGAAGTTCATGTCCTGAAGTTGAAGCAACTTAAGGTGCTTCGTTTCTTTGTAAAGATGATACAAATTCTAGATTTGGAATATAAAATTTTAGATATAGGAGTAATACGTAGAATCTTTATAAGATTTTAGAAATGTTGGAAATTAGAAGATAAATAATTATATAATTAAGAAAATATAGAATTATGTAAAACTTATAAAATTATGTAGAAAATATACGTGTATTAGTAGAAGTTACAACATGATTCTAGAAAAAGAAAAAGAAGAAGAAATGTGTAGAAATAGAATAGTGTAGAAACAATGAAATTAGTAAAAAATTCTAGAATCTTTATAAGTAAAACCTATAAATAGATATGAAGGGAATATTTATACGTGTGAAAAATCTAATACAAGCTCTTCCATATCTTGTAACACTTATAACATCAATTACTATCTTTCCTCATATAAACTTTCTCCTATTTGTCCAATTCTTTCTAAAAATTATTTTCTACACAAATCTCACTACTAAACATCAAACTATTTTTCCTATCTTTCCTAAAATACTAACAATTTTGTATAGACCATCTGCCCTCGTCGGTGTTTCTATAATGTTATCGAGTATACATGACGGAACCACAATAGCTTCAAGGTTTTCAGTTTCCTATAAACATTGTACACAATAATCAAATTAGTGGATTTTTTGAAGTATTTATTGTTGAACATTCAAGGACTTGATGTTGCAAATAATGATCATGAAGAATGTTGATTTTGATGATGATCCAAGAGCTTAAAGACTTAGAGTATTGAAGATTGAAGATTGATGATTTCTGTATTGTAATAACTCTGTTTTAGCTTGATTGAGTCTGTAATTTTAGAGTCTAAGATAGCCGGTACATAGTCTGTAACTTAGGTGCTTCAAATGCTCAAATTTATCATTCAGGCTCGGCTTTAATCGATTAAATAAGTATATAATCGATTAAAACAGTGAGAACATTTTCTGTCTAAAACTCACTGCTTTAATCGATTAAACAGCAAAATAATTGATTATTCCGATTAGGTCAGAGATAATCGATTATTTCATCAAATAATCGATTAAACCAGAGAGGATTGGGTTCGACGTATTTGGCTCTGTTTTAATCGATTATTACTCCAAATAATCGATTATTTCGATCTGTTTCGATTTTAAACTTCAAACAAACCCTATTTTCGAAAACCCAATTACCAAGAACCCAAGTTTCGAAATCCCCAAATCCTAAACCCTAATTTCCCTACTTAAACTCTCCTTTGGCACTCGAGAAAATAAGAACAACCTTTTCCATACAAAAGTTAAGTGCCTGTGAGTGCCAGGAGAACTCGTTTGTTGCAAGGAAAGGGGGCTTTCCGAACCTGGTGTGGGCTAGAAGCGATAAGAATCACTAAGTGGAGTTCTTAGTGGATTGTGTGTTGTGCCGTCTCCGGGGAAAGTCTGTTCATCATCTCTTGTGGATTTCAAGAGAGGTGTATTCTCGATCTTTATCTCTGTTCATTTGTAATCTGTTTGTAACAATTTGTTCTTAGTGACAGCGTTAATCCTCTTTTGAGTGATTAGCAATCTGGACGTAGGGTCTTTTGATCCGAACCGGTATAAACCTACTTGTGTAATCTTCTCTATTCTTCTCTATTTACATTTACGCAGTTTTTAATCGGTAAAATTTGGGGAAAATTTTGAAAACCTAATTTTTATTAAGAAACCAATTCACCCCCCCTCTTGGTTTTTGTCCGACCACGCGAACATTCCGTTGCGCGATTCTAACAAGTGGTATCAGAGCATGCTTTGATAGTCATTCAAATTTTCGAAAATGGCCAGACAAAATCAAACTTTTGCCGAAGGTGCATCTATCAACAGACCCCCACTTTTTGCGGGTCAAAATTATCCTTTTTGGAAGGTACGTATGCAAATATTTTTAGAGTCTGTTGATAGAGGCGTTTGGGACGCAATTTTAAACGGTCCATTTGTTCCTAAAATTACAGAGAACGGTGTTGACGTTCTTAAACCTTTTGATAGATGGACTGCCGACGAAAGTCGAAAATCACAATTTGATGTTAGGGCTAGAAATATTATTTCATCTCGCTCTAACCCTTGATGAGTTCTACAGAATTTCTATTTGTAAAAGTGCACGGGAAATATGGGAAATGCTTAGAGTAACCCACAAAGGAACCGACGACGTCAAAAGAGCGCGTAAAAACTCCCTAATCCAAGAATACGAGATGTTCGGATGCAACCGGCGAAACGATTTTCGACGTTCAAAAGCGTTTCACTCATATTGTGAATCATCTCACCGGATTAGGTAAAGTATTTGACGTTGATGAATTAAATGTTAAAATTTTGAAATCTCTGGATAGGAAATGGCAACCTAAGGTGACAGCCATCTCGGAGTCACAAAATCTTGTCACTATGTCTATGACGGCGTTATTTGGAAAGCTAAGGGAGCATGAACTTGACCTTGGAAGACTAAATGAGGAAGAGGGTCAATACCAAAAGAAGAATCTAGCTTTCAAGACCGAGATTTCAAAAAGCAAAAATAAGAAAGAAGAAGAAGAAGACTCCGAAAATGATGAAGAAGAGATGAGTCTTTTTATAAAGAAGTTCACCAAATTGATGAAAGCAAAAGGAAGACATCCTTTCAAAGGTAAGGGAAAGGTAAAAGAAAATTCTTCCGTTAATATAAAATGCTATGGTTGTGGTGAAACAGGGCATATGAAGACCGAATGCCCAAACAAGAAAAATGATGAACACAAGGGCAAAAAGCAATTCAAGAAGAAAGCATATATTGCTTGGGATGACAGTGATTCAAATTCAGAATCAAGCGACTCGGAAATAGAAGCAAACAATTGCTTAATGGCAAATGACAACATTTCTTCGGATTTTGAGGTTAGTGATTCCGATTCATCCTCTAGTGAAGAAAATGACCATGATGAATTGCAAAATGCTTATAATGAGTTATTTACTGCATTTATGAATATGAAAGACGAATTTAAAGTTGTAAAGAAGAATCTAAGAAGATCCGAAAAGGAAAATGAGTCCTTAAAATTGAAAATTGCATGTTTAGAAGAAAAGGAGGTAGCTAATACGAAAATTGTATGCTTAGATGAGAATAAGGACTTAGCTTGTGCAAATTGTAAAGAGCATGAATATGACATAGATATTCTTAACCATTTGCTTGACAAAGCCGAAAAAGAAATTGATGATCTTAAGAAGCATGAAATGGTAATTGCTCAAAATAATGTAAATCAAAGAGTTCCTTTGAAAAAGAGTAAAACTAAAAAGAAAAGAGTATGGGTAGAAAAAGGAACTAGAGCATGTCATGTTAATAATGTATCTTGTTCTAAAACTACCTCAAATGCATGCTTCTATTGTATGAAACAAGGTCACACTTCAAATAAGTGTAAAATTAAACATTTTGGTGTTCCTAAAGGAAAATATATTTGGGTTCCTATAGTTAAATGAATTGTTTGTCTCTTTTATTTATTCAAAGAAAATGGATCATTTAGTATGTTTTAAACAGAATGCTTAGGTAAAATCATTTTATCTTTTCTACTGCATGAAGGTTCTTCACTTAAAGATTTTGCGAAATGCCTCTAAAATCGTTTTAAACAACTAAAAACAAAGTATTTTTACAAAAGCTTTCTTAAACATGTTTTTAACTGATATAGTTGTGAAAGAACCGATTAAAATCACTTAGAATGTTCAAAGAAGTGTTTTTACAGCATTTTAATCTATACAAATTGTTTTTAATCGATTAAAACCATTTAGAACTCATTATGATCGATCAGAATACTAATATGACCGATCAGATTTTAATTATGAGCAGTCTGAAATTTTTCAATCGATTAAAATCACTTAAAGGGTCAGGATGATCGATCAGAATGCAATTATGACCGATCAGAATCAGTTATAATCGATCAGAATTTAGTTATGACCGATCAGAACTCTTTTAATCGATTAAATCTCGTTTCAATCGATTAAAACAACTTAGAAATTTTCTACACAGCATTTTAATCGATTAAAACTTATTTTTATCAGTTAAAATAACTTGAAAAGTTTTATAAGAAAGTTTTGCAGTATTTCAATCGATTGATGAGGGCATTTTCTTAGGTTATTCTCTAACTAGCAAGGCATATAGAGTGTTTAATAGGAGAACTTTAAATATAGAAGAATCTATTCATGTTACCTTTGATGAGATTGTAGACCTTGGGGGAAATCCTCTTGAGTCAAATAAAAGACTTGCAGGTGATGATGAATATATAAAGGAGGCTCTTGATGAATTATATTTGGAGGATAATGAACCTTCTCAAACTCCTCAATTAGCAAAAGAATGGCAATCACCTAGAGGACTCTCAATGGACAACATCATAGGTGACATCTCAAAAGGGGTAAGAACAAGAAATATGAATAATTTTTGTATGTCTGTTGCTTTTGTGTCACAGATAGAACCTAAAAACATTGAGGAAGCACTTAAAGATGATCAATGGTGCATAGCCATGCAAGAAGAACTTAACCAATTTGAAAGGAATCAAGTCTGGGAATTAATTCCAAGAGAAGAGTCACATCAAGTCATTGGAACTAAATGGGTATTTAGAAATAAGCTTGATGAAGATGGTAATATAACAAAGAATAAAGCCAGACTTGTTGCAAAAGGCTATTGTCAGAAGGAAGGTATAGATTATGATGAAACTTATGCTCCTATTGCCAGGTTAGAGGCTATACGCCTACTTCTTGCTTATGCATCTATGATGAAATTTAAATTATATCAAATGGATGTAAAGAGTGCATTTTTAAATGGTTTTATTAAAGAAGAAGAATATGTAGATACCAAACGTCAATTAGCAGATATATTTACTAAGCCTCTACCCAAGGATAGATTCTATGATCTTAGAAGAGACTTAGGGATATTAGAAATAGCTTAAATTCTGCTTAATCTGACTGTTTTTGGATGATTATAATGTTATAATTCGTGGGTTAGGATGTTCATAGGTTATCATGTGTTAAAACA